TACTTTACAGCCCACGGCAACATGGATTTTATTTGTCTTATATGATAAAAAAGCAAAAATTAATGATGTTAATGGTGACAGCATCTATGTGTCTTTCATCCAGAAGATCATAAATGAGAACCAGTTGAACTGCGTGTATAATTCACCTTATAATATAACTCAGAAAAACTACATTCCATACCCCACCCTCCCTCCCTCCCTCCAGCTTATTGCAGTCCTCTCAGGGATCCATCGTACGTGTTGTGTTCTTGTCTGACACACGGTTGACCAATAGTCCATTTTACAGTTGCCCGCTTGGTTGCCAAGCCTTTGAACAGAAGTGAGGCTTGGGGTGACCTTGTTATGATACAGACGTTGCTGGTCTCTTTCACGACCAGGTCACCTTCAGCCTCACTCCGAATCAAAGGCTTGGCAACTAAGTACAAAGCTGTAAAATGGCTAATTCATACATGTACACCAACATCGTGTGTCTTCATCCTTTCACTCGTTAAAACTCTCACCTAATTTGTCAACTACTTCTGGAGGGAAAAGCCTCGTGGCAAAAGCTCTCCTTATAATGTTGGAGAATTCCTGTTTACAAAAAGAGCAAAATGGCAGAACATACATCAATATAAAGTGTTGGAAGGGAATGGAAGAGTGAAAACAGACTGCACTTTCTGCAAAGTCAAAGGTGAGGAGGCAGCGTGGCCGAGTGGTTAGGGTGCTGGACTTGTAATCTGGTGTTGCAGGTTCAAATCCTCCACCCTGCCACTTAATGGATTTGTTCTCTGTTGCCCCTAATTCAACTCCTCGGCTGCGCTCTGTTAATAGCATACTGGTCTGCCTCTTGCCAGTGGGGATTTTTAAGCAATTAGTTTACACTGTGGCTGAAAAGCCCCTCAGTGGGAGCTTCAATTTACATAATTATCATTATTATTATTATTATTATTATTATTATTATTATTATTATTATTATCATTATTATCATTATTTTTTAAGGTAATAATAAAGAACCAGCCTTTATGAAAACGCAGCTTCACACTTCATCTGTTAATTTGACGATTGCAAAAAAGTGATCGTAATGGACGTGATATCTGAAAATTTCATCCCCACTACAAGTTTGCTCTCCCCACTCCCCCACTGCCCTAACCCACCTAAACAAGTTCACTCTTAACGTGAAAGGAATGCATCGTGCTGTAAGGAGAAAGGGTTGGAGATTGGCAGCAAGTTTACAACAAGGAAAACTTCCATAAGTCGTGGAATATAAGCCACACGGCAAACTAGATTTCTTTTAGGATTGTTCGTCTATATATTATAATTATACATATAAATATTCATTTTCTATAGAATTCTTCGTTTTTTTTTTATTTTCCTCTCTTATGCCCGCCTCAAATAGCCCAAGCTACTTGCGGGCCCAAGTATTGAAATTTTCTTATTAAGCTTTAATAAAATTTGTTTTTGTTGTTGTTGTTGTTGTTATTGTTGTTGAATAACTAAAGATGGGAAAACACACCTTGTCAAGGCCTCCAATTCCCAGCTTGGTAAAATCCCAGTCTCTGCTGATAATGGACTGCGTTGCAGCTTTTCTGAGAATCAAACAACAACAAAAAGTATCGATTAACTTAAATGTCATCTCCCAACAAAACCTGGCAGTACTTTTCCTTTCTTCAGTGTAACTGGATTTCCTGGTGAAAGAGTTAGGTATCTTCTATCATTGCCCAATGGCACACATAACTGTATTTTGAGTTGTCACTTGCATTAATTATCTGCTCTTACCCTTTGGCAGTTCCTGTCAGATTCAACATTGAACCCTGAAAGAGAAGACATTAGAATTGATATTCCAAGTCAAAATGTTTTTAAACAAGTTTGATTTCTTTCCCATTTTTTTTTCTGAGCACATTTTTTAATCATATTGATTGTCCTTAAATAGAGAAGGAAAAGTCCAACTTGACTGAAATCATTATGAAATTGTAATGTTTACATCACTTTCAGTGTTTTACACGTAGCTGTTCTAAACCCACTGGCACCAATTCATTGTGATTTGCAAACATGCTCCCATCTGAGGTCATACACATCACCCTGCCTGACTGCTGGTCAGTAAATACAAACTGTCTGAGGTGATGTTTTGACAGCTCACTACACTTACACAAACCATTCTGATAGGTTTGCAGGTAGATGTTAGAAACATGCATACTGGTAACTGTGTCAACAGCCAGATTACATTGTGAACTTCACTAAAAAATATTTTATTCAGCACTACAACATTACTTATAAATTGTAGATTGGACTAGAAAAAAGAAAATGCTTTTAAATGCAATAGTTTCCCTTCATTTCATATTACCTCTGCTCTCTCAAAAAGAACTTGGGTGTTTCTTGTTATAAGACCCATAGCAACCTGCAACATAATATTAGCATAAGGCAAATACAAAAAAGAGGTACAGTCGAACCTCAATTATCCGAACCTCGATTATCTGGACTATTCGATTATCCGGACTTTTTTCTCTGGTCCGAA